CCCTGGTAGCCCCAACGTGGCTGAGTCACAGAGCTGCTGGGAGTCCTGGGTTCGTGTTGTGGCTCCAGAGCCCAACAGCAGTCCCACTGGTGGCTGGTTTATGCCAGGCAACCGCTACCCCAACCCCTGTGGCCTGCCCCAGCTTCTGGTCCTTAGTAGGCCATGGCTTGCCAGCTGGCCTCCACCAGGTGAGAGAGCGCGGCTCTGCCTGGGGTGTTAGCTGAGTTTGAACCCTGGCTGCATTTGAGAGGTTCTGTAGGGAAGAGCGTGTCCAGCCCATAGCTGACCCTTAGCGGGCCTGGGCATGGCTGAGCAGGCTTCCTGGAGGAGGCAGTGGAAGAAGTGATCTGAGAATGAGGAAGCAGGGACAGAGGCAGGGGTCAGAAAGCTACAAGGTGGGGTTCAGTTCCCCAGGAGTCATTCAGGGGAGAAGAGAGAAGTGTGGTCTCAAAGGCTCTGAAGCGCTAAATCGAGACCCCAGAAGCCTCGAATGCTGAGATGAGTTGAGAGCCAGCGACGGAGTCGGGAAAGGATGAGGAATGCGGCAAGGCTCTTGGTGGGGAATCCAGGGTGAGCTTCTCCTCCAGGCAGGGAGGGCAGAGGGCAAACCAAGGAAGGGCAGCTGCACCAGGCTCCTGGTTCAGTATGGGCTCAGCCCAGTGACAACTGGAGGAGGCCAGGATCAGGGAGACCAGTGGCAGGGCTGGACCCCAGGCAGAGGCGCTGGCTCCCAGGCCGGAGGAGAAGTTTAGAGGAAAGGTGGGCGGTCACCTCTCCTACTGAGGCCTGCAGATGGAGGGTGGGGGCGTGCATATGGGAGCTCCAGTGGGCCCGGCCAGGCCAGATACTCCAAGGATGCCATTCTTCCCTGCAGGGCCCTCTGCGCCTACGTGGTGCACAGGAATGTGACCTGTGTCCTACAGGAGGGAGCAGAGAGCTACATAAAGGCTGAGTACCGACAGTGTGGATGGGGGCCCAAGTGCCCCGGGACAGTCACGTGAGTGCACCCCCACCCCACCCACTCAGGATCCCTGGGCACACCCCCCAGGCCTGCCCTCAGCAGAGAGCAGCAGCCAGCTCTCCAAGGGCTGTAACTCCTTGGGGAGGGGACTCCGGCCCCCACGCTGGCGGGAAGGAGGGAGCCAGGGAGGAGTCAGGGGCAGGCTCGGGTCAGAGCCCCGCCTGTAGGGGGACCAGGGGAGGGTTTCTAGGGGAAAGGCAGCACCAGGCAAGGAAGAAGCCGTGGCAAAGGGTGTGGGGGACAGGGGAGAACAGAGGGCCACACTGGCAGTGGCTGATGCCAAAGGGACCCTGAGCAGACTCAAGCAGGGCTGTGGTGACCATGGAGGAGGCAGGTCAGGGTGAGGGGTGGGAGCCGGCCAGTGGGCTCCGGCTGGACAGACGGGGCCGAGAGAGGACACGTGGTGTCGCACACAGGCAGGAGGCACAGCTCTGTGCCTGGAGAGGTTCCGACGCAGGTCTGAAAACAAACCTGTTTGCACGGGACCCCTGAGCGCATGCCCAGGCCTGCCTTCAGTAGGTGCACGGGTACATGCCGAACAGGTGAAGGAGTGGCCCCTGCTCTGCCTTCCCCCTTGGCCCTTCGCCTCTGTGCTCAAAGTCCAAGGCGCCCTCTCACCAGCCTCTGTGACCAGAGCTGTTTCCAGAGTAGTCTGGGGAGCAGTGAGAAGGACTAAGGGAAGCTGGTGGGAGCCCAGAGTGCCCCCTCCCAGGCAATGAGAGGGGCTGCTTGCCCCAGCTATGGGGCAGTACCCCTCACCCACCCACAGGGAAGGGGCTAGGGCTTTGTCAGAATTCTTCAAGGTACCACCAAAGCCAGAGTGAGATTTCTGGTGGCAGTATGAGCTCAAAGGGGTCTAGGTGGTCCTGTGGGCCTTTGGACTAAATTCCTGCTTGCCTTCTGCCCTGACCCATCTCTGAGCCATGGCTAGGCCTGCTTCCACCCCATGGCCCTGTCGCCTTAAGCACAGAAAAAGGAGACTCTTGGGGGTGTTGTAGAGGTGGGAAGACATCTAGACCCTATCCACGAGTCTGAGTGTGGCCCTGAACACCAGCCAGGGGGCACGGTCACCTGCCAGCAGGAAGGCGCCTCAGCCCTCGGACACAGAGCTCTGACCTCTCTCCACCCCTGGCCCAGGTACCGCACGCTGCTCAGACCCAAATATAAGGTCGGCTACAAGATGGTGACGGAGCTCTCCTGGCGCTGCTGCCCTGGGCTCAGTGGAGAAGGCTGCCCTGAGCACCTCACAGACCACGGGGCTGCCCCACCCCAGCCGGAGCCGGAGCCCCAGATTCCCTCCAGGCAGCTGGGCCCAGGCCCCAGGCCCCCTCCTTCCAGCAGAGCAGTCCCCAGCCCTTACGGTGAGTCTGTCCATGGAGACCCCACCAACGTGGTTGGGTTTTGGGGGAAGGTGGGAAGGCCACTACCCAGGCCAGCAGAGCTTGGGCAGGGGTAGGGAGGGTGCATCCCATGCTGGGCAAATGGGTGAGTCCCCAGGCCCCACCCAGAGCTGATGGAACTATGCCCAGCAAGGCTGGCTTAGAACAGAAAATTGAGTGGCTTGACAACAGGACATGGTGAGCGAGCCAGGCCAGTGACAGCCCTGGGGTTCTCTCCTCCTCTTTCCTAGGAAGGAAAGGCCCAGGGTTGTTTGGTGAGCGCCTGGAACGCCTGGAGGGTGAGGTCCAGCGCCTGGCACAAGCATATGGTACTCTCAGTGGCCTGGTTGCCAGCCACGAGGACCCCAACAGGATGGCTGGCGGCCCCAGAGCTCCTCTTACCCCTGTGGGCTTTGGAGTCATCCCTGAGGGGTTCGTGAACCCTGGAGACAGAACTGGAGGGCCGTTCGCACCTCCCCTGGACGAGATCTTGAGCAAGGTGACAGAGGTGAGCAACACGCTACGGACCAAGGTGCAGCTGCTGGACGAGGTGCACGGCATGGCCCTCGGCCACGAGGCCCACCTGCAGCGGCTGCGGGAGGCTCCCCCATCTCCGCTGACCTCTCTGGCCCTGCTGGACGACTACGTGGACCAGAGGCTGCACCGACTCTGGGGGAGCCTGCTGGATGGCTTCGAGCAGAAGCTGCAGGGTGTCCAGGATGCATGCGACCTGCGGGTGCAGGAGGTGCGGCAGCAGTGTGAGGAAGGCCAGGCAGCCAGCCGGAGGCTGCATCAGAGCCTGGATGGCCGGGAGCTGGCCCTGCGCCGGGAGCTCTCACAGCTGGGGACCCAGCTGCAGGGCCTGAGTGTGGCTGGCAGGGGCAGCTGCTGCAGCCAGCTAGCGTTGATCAGTGCCCGCGTAGACGGCCTCGAGAGGAGCCTGCAGGCCGTCACTGAGGCCCAAAGGGGCCGTGGACCCACCACCAGGGATGAGCTCACTCGGCTCTCTGCTGCCATGCTGCAGGGAGGTGTGGATGGATTTCTCGAGGGTCTGGAGACCCTCAATGGGACAGAGAATGGAGGGAGGGGCTGCTGTCTGGGGATGAAGGAGGGCGGATGGGGTACAGGCAGCTTCAGGACCACGCTGGAGGAGCGTGTGCAGAGCCTGGAGGAGCGCATGCTGACGCTGGCTGGGGAGCTAAGCCACGACAGCGCCCCACCAGGCAGGTCAGCACGGCCCCTGGTGCAGACGGAGCTGGCCGTGCTGGAGCAACGGCTGGTCTCACTGGAGACCTCGTGCACCCCCAGCACCACCTCGGCCGTCCTGAAGAACCTCGTGGCAGAGGTGAGGGCCTGGCAGAGCCAGACTGAGGCCCTTCTGCACCAGGTGGCCAGCCACACGGCCTTGCTCCAGCAGCTCAATGGCACCGTGGCAGAGGTCCAGGGGCAGATGGCAGAAGCAACGGGCAGCTCACTCCAGGGCGAGATCACCTTGCTCAAGGTCAACCTGAACTCCGTGAGCAAATCACTCACAGGCCTCAGCGACTCCGTCAGCCAGTACTCTGATGCCTTCTTGGCCACCAACCTGTCCCTGGATGAGCGGGAACGCAAGGTGGAGGCTGAGGTCCACGCCATCCAGGAGCAGGTCAGCAGCCAAGGCTCACGGCTTCGTGCTGGCCACCGGCAGGTCCTGAGCCTGCGGGGGGAGCTGGAGCAACTCAAGGCCGGGGTGGCCGATGTGGCTGGCGGGCTGAGCCGCTGCCAGGACACAGCCCAGAAACTCCAGCGTGCGGTGGGCCACTTTGACCAGAGGGTGGCACAAGTGGAGGGTGTGTGTGGGAAGCTGGGCCTGATGGCTGCAGACCTGGACAGCTTGCCCACAGAGTCACTCAGGCCCAGGGAAGGCCTATGGGGCCATGTGGACCAGCTGAACCGCACGCTGGCCCAGCACGCACAGGACATCGCCCGTCTCCGGGATGACCTGCTAGACTGCCGGGCCCAGCTGGCCGAGCAGGCGAGGCCCAGGCAGGCCAACTAGGTGGGCTGGACAGGACCCGACCCCCAGATCCCACCAATCCTGGGGACATCACCCCAGAGCCCAGACCACGCCTCCCAGCCTCTGGCCAGCACAGATGCCACTTTGGAGGCCACTGAAGGCACCGTCTCGGTCCAGCTCCACGTGACTGTCTGACATTAATACCCATATGCTCAGTGCTGCACCAGCAGGACAGTTCAGGATAGCGGTCAGGGCGGGTATGACATGCCTGAAGGTCAGGGTGGACCCAAGAGACCTCACAATCCAGTTTACCAATTGCTCTTCTGCGGACACACGAGTCGGCGCCTGTGCAGACTGCAGGTCCATCCGCAGACGGTGGCCTGTCCACGGCTCCCTCTGCCCACAGGCAATAGGCAGGCCCCATGGAGGCTTCTGGTCCTTTGTCCCCTCAGCTTTTCTCCCCAGCCACCTGGGCTCAGTGTCTGCAGGAGGGTGCCGCCACTGGCACTGTCCTCACACATGGCAGCTTCACTGATGCTGTTTCTGAACCAAGGACCAGGTTTCCACCACCCCAAAGGCCCTCAGGATGGCGCAGAAACACAGGTCAGCCAAGAGTTCTCTTTATTCCTTTCAGTCCTCTCCCAAGGTGAGGGCTTAGGCAGCTGTAGATTCCCAGGGGAGGGCACTGGGTCCAGGCAATCTGTTTGGAGAACCCCCCCCACCCCCGCCCCACCAGCAATGTATGCTTTTCCTTCTCTTCCCCAAAGATGTTGTCCGGGCACTCTGGTCCCCACAGAGTCCTCTCCTCCCCGTGTTGGGGGAGATCTTTAGGCCTCACGGTCCGAATGAGGCCAGGCCCTGGGCCGGAGGCCATGGCTGGAAGGAGAGGGCTCCAGGCCCAGTTTCAGACATCCTTGTAAACTGGGTGACCACGGAGTCATGAGAAATGCAGGTAGGACACTGCCAAGGGACAGTCTGCAGATGCAAGTGTCCGTCTGGCCTGCGCAGTCCCAGAGACCCTGATGCCCGTCTCTGCCGAGGCTCCTGGCCTCAGTTTCCCCACAGCAGCACGGGCCCTGCCCTGCTGTCTTGCAGGTCCCTGTAGCCCTCCCTTCTCGATTCTCGACATCTGGTATTCTGCCCTCCACTGTGGTGCTGTTGGGGGAGGGCAGGCCTGGATTAAAGCTTTTAGCCTCTCCAAAAGTACTTTCTTCCCCAAAGGGTATCTGCTCTCTATGGTGGTGCTGTTCAGGGAGGGGAGGCTGCCGTGGGGTGTCAGCCCTGCTTCCTGCAGCCCCTCGGGCAAGAGCCGGCTCAGCAGCTGTGTGGACACTGAACGGACCAGCAAAGGCTAGGGGAGGGCGGCAGGCCAACCCCCACCTGTCTGGCAGGGTTTGTGGCTGCATCCTCAGGGGATGTGCTGAGGCGTCTGGCTCAAGAGCTGTGGGAAGGGGCCAGGGCTACGTAAGGGTCTGGCCACAGAGGGCATGCACGGTCCAGGCTCCCCAAAGGGGGCGGGGGGGAGCACCGTGTTCTTCCCAGATGCTAATCTGCTCACCCCTTCACTGCCGCCACCAGCCTCCCCCAAGCCTATGGCTCTCAAGCCCCAGCGGGGCCTCCCTCTTCTCTCTGCCTTGCCAGGAGTTGAGGTGAGTCCCACAGAGATAGGGACAGAGACGTCAAGGTGTCAAGGCACGGAGAACACTGCAAGGGCCCAGGTGACAATCATTTAATGGCCACAGGCCAGGGCCACATTGAGGCCTGTAGCAGCTGCCCCAGCCCCTGCAGCTCGGCTGGCAGAGGCGACAGGGCAGGGAGGAGAGAGGCTGCCAGCCGGCCCTCAGGCCCCCTCCTCCCTGTTGGGCTGGTCCTGTAAGCACCCAGCTGCTGACCCCCTGTGCCCTGGGACACCCAGTTCTGGGCCAGGCCAGGCCAGGGAGGAGGGGGCAGCCAGAGCAGGTTCAGCCCAGGGCGTCAAGGTCCACAGCAGTCAGTGGCTCCCGCCAGTAGCAGAAGTTGCTGTACTCAGGGTTGGCCAGATCTGTGCTGGGGCCACGGGCCACGGGCGGGAAGAGGAGCTCGACCACCTCGCCAAGCCGCTCATACCTGTGGGCAGGACAGGGCCGGTACTGAGAGCCTGAACCGCCACCGGGCCACGGCCTCGGTCACATCGGCAGAGACTGCACGGTGTTGGGAGCCGTGGGCGAGGAGCAGTCCCCGGTGGGGCAGTGGAATGGGGGCCCAAGGGGGGCTGGGGCGTGGGGGGGGGCCGTGGCAGGGTGTGGCCTCACGTGGATTTGTGGTTCTTCATGGGCTCCCGGATGAGCTCTCCCCGGGGGTTGACTGTGAAGATCCGAGATTCTGGGAGGCCCACGTGCCGGTAGGCAGTGACATCCTGTGGGAGACAGGGAGGCTGGTGGGCTGGACGGCAGGGAGAGGTGCCTCGGCCCTCAGGGAGGAGACACTCACGTTGGGCCTGTTCCCGAAGGCAGCATAGAAGGGCTGTCCCTGGGGCAGGAACAGCTGCTGGATGTCACTCAGGCAGGCGATCTTGAACACCTCTGGCTTCTTCTCGATCACCTCCCTGGGGAGCCGGGGCCACGGTCAGGGAAGGCCACCGAGGCGGGGAGGCCAGCAGGATGGCAGGGCCAGGGGACACAGGCCTCGTGCTGGGCGGGCACTGGGCCCGCACTCCCCCCAGGGGTGTGGGCTCATAGCGTGTAGGGGGGTTACCTGTGCAGGGCGGAGAAGAGGCTGCTGGGAGACAGCAGGATGGGGCCCTTGGGGAGGCCGCAGCCCCGCTCGCTCACCCACTGTAGGTACCCCTTGGTGAGGTCTGCCATGCCAATGGCCCTCGCTGAGCAGTACAGGAACTTGTATCCATTTCTGGGGGTGGGGGACAGGTGGCACAGAGCCATGAGGGACCAGCCATCAGCCATTCTGTCTCCTTGGTTTCAGCCAGCTCAGCCCAAGCCTGGGGCTCTGGCCTCCAAACCCAGAAGCCTTTGCAGGGAGGGGATGTAGGGAGAACTGCTAGGCCGGGCTGGAGAGAGGCAGGCTCAGTAGGAGGGGCATGGACAGACTCCCGACGCCAAGATGGACCGAGGTGGATGAGGGTCTGAGCAAGTCTGCAGACGTCCTCTGTCGCCCGAAGGTCAGCAGTTAGACTCTGACCCCAGACCACAGGCAGAGCCCCAGTAGGTGGGTCTCCTCTCCTGGACATGGCCTGGTTGCTTCCCTTGTGGGCCCCACTGGTCCCCAAGCCTGGCTTCCCAGGGCCAAGGCTATGTCAACCTCACGTGTCCTGGCACCACCCCCCCCACCCCCCACCGCCCCAGGGCCCTGCCCAGCCCTAGCGCTGGCACTCACAGGTGGATTCTGTGGTAGAGACTCGTGATGCCCTGGTGTGTCCAGTCTTTCCCCAGCTGGGGCAGGATGTGGCCCAGAGCATCGGACCTGGATCCCAGGGGAGGGGTCACTCCAAGGCAGCCACGTGTGGCCCTCACATTCCACACGTGGGGCCCCGCTCCCAGGCCCCGCTCCCAGCCCCAGCAAGGTGCACTGGGAGGGCCTCTCCCCTGTCCCCTGTCCCCCAGCACAGAGGGAGGCAAGTTTCTAGGCCTCCCCTCCCCCACCAACCAGGCCTCACTTGGTGATGGTGCCGTCGATGTCCGAGATGACCACCTTGTCATCCCACCTCCACAGGTAGATGGTGGCCCTGCAGCGGCAGGTGCCCTGGTACTGGGTTGTCACGCTGAAGACCACCTCGTTGGCGCCTTCTTGCAGGTTCAGCTGCCGCTGGGGCGGGGCAGAGATGGGGAGCTGTGATCCGCCGCAGCCGGGCACTGTCTGCCCGCTGCCACCCCACACCGTGGCCTTCAGCCCCCAGCTGGGCCTCTCGCTCTCCTCTCCCTCCCGACTCAGAGGACCTGGCAGAGCCCATCAGAGAGAGCCAGACACAGACACGCCCACGTGGGCAGAGGGTGTCCACGAGGAGGAAGGGAGGGGTGCTGCGGGGCCTGCACCATGCCGGGGGGCTGGGGCGGGGGGACAAGGCCTGGCCTGTGGCTCCTGCTGAGTTTCTCACATCAGCCCCGAGGATGGCATTACCTTAGGCAGGGAAATACCCCACCACATGGCAGGAGCCCTGTGGGGGCCATCACAGGGGCTGTGGTACCTGAGACGCCCTGCAGAGAGAGACCCTGGCCCCGTCCTTGGTCCACAGAGACGGGTCAGGGCAGCGCTCAGCCAGGGCGGGGGTGAGCCCCAGGGTACCACACAGGTGGCAGCTGCTCGGCACCAGGCTGGCCGGGTCCCCCCGGGCACCTCCCTGACCACACTCAGGGGGTCACACTCAGGGAGAAGGCACTCTTCTGACGGGGGCCACCAGTTACTAAGGGCAAAGATGTGACTTGGGGCCAGTCTGAAGGCCCGTCATCCATACTGGTTCCTTTCGTGTGGCTTCCCAGGGCAGGCCCGGGGCCGACCGACCCACTGCAGGTCGGTATTTCAGGCACAGAGAGGGCTTTTCCAGTGAGAGCACTGGACAGAGACAAATGGACTGGCATGTAAAGAAGTGAGCCCCCTGCCCCCGGAGGTATTCAAGCAGGAGCTGTTACGGAGGTGGCCAAAGGGGATGGATCCTGGGCTTTGGTGAATGCGTGGCTCTGTGGGGCCCTTCCTCCTCCGGGCCCTGTAGGGCTCTGGGACAGCATTATCACGGCGCGCCCCCACCCTCGTCTGCACACCAACACATCCGCGGGCACACTCACGATCTGGTCGGAGGAGAGGCGGAGGGACTTCTTGCAGGTGGGAGGGTAGGCCGGAGGCAAGGGTGGCAGGGAGGGAGCCTCGAGGATCACGGGGCTGTCTGGGGCGTCATCCTCGCTGCTCAGGACATCCGTCTTCTCCCTGCGGGCAGCCCAGCTCTCAGGAGCCCTCCCCCAGCCCAAGGCCCCGCACTTCCGGCAGACACCCCTCGCCCCAGGCCACAGGGAGCCTGGGCCGGTCCCTGCCCCTCCAGAGACTACCTGGGGGTGTGGGTCAGAAACCCCTCCCTCCAGGGACCACCCTCCAGGTAGTAGCAGGGAAAGATTTGGGCTGGCGGTCTGCACCCAGAAAGGCGATGGCGGAGCCGGAGCCGAGGGCCTGGGCTCTCAGCCCTTGGCACCTCCCCGTGTCCAGGATGCCCGCGCCTGACTTGGAGATGTCTGTCAGAAAACCTAGAAATGTATTTGAGGATTATTCCCAACCTCACCTGCCTTGGCTTCAGTTGGCTCATCCTTGATCACCCCTGCCCTCTCGCCCGCAACCTTGGGCATTCTGGGTCAGTTCATAAGTAAAAGGGAAGCAGGGTCAGCAGGCCCCAGGCGGAGAGGGGAGGCCCTGCCGCCTTTCATGCGGCGGCCCCTTGTCTGGGCGCCCCTCCCAGCTCTGCCATTTCTCAGCTGTGGGACCTTTGGTATATCTCTAAGTCTCAGTTTCCCCTTCTGTGAAATGGGGACATTTTGCAGGAAAAACAATGGGTGTAGAAGTGACTGGGGGGGCGGGGTGCTGGCTCCGCCTTACCCTCCGAGGGCAGGCCTCTGCGGCTCCCAGCCGAGAGATCAACTCACCCCCTTGGCTCCCTGGCCGTGGTCTTCTCCCTCTGGGCACTTTGCTGTGGGATGAACATTCGTCTAGTGAACAACCAGCCCCTGCCTGGCCCGGCCCCACCCTGTGACCATAACCACCCACCTCCTCGGCCGGGAAGTCCCTGCGTCGCCAGGAAAACCACCACCGCCCACCCTTCCTGGGCATCTTCTCCTTCTCCAGCTTGTCCACAGTGCTCTGGGGGCAGAGAAAGGCCATGGCATTCACCTCTGATTGCCCTCGGGGCCGCCGTGAGCCCAGAGTCTGGGGCTGACCACCACAAGGTGCTGTCGACCTCTGGAGGCTGAGGAAGCACACCCACCTCCTTCCTGTGGTTCCCGCAGCTCATGCGGGACGCCAAGGCTCACTCCTGCCCAGCCCCGCTCCATCCCAGCCCTGACCCCTGACCTCTAGCTCAACCTCGGCCCGACCTCCCAATCTGGTGAGTCTGTGCTTTGGGAGTTTCTCGAGATCTGGTACTCCCTGCATGATGCCACCAAGTGGCAGCCAGTACTCCCCTCAACCTCCAAGACCAACACAGGCAACTCCTGAGGTCCGGGATTCCCATGAACGACTCCCTCTGTATGTTACCATTACCACCTGGTGGGGGCTGCATGACCTGGTGAAAAATACTGACTAGATTTGTGCTTCCTACAAACACAGAATGGTGCCCCAAATTAGGAGGACATAGGCTTGGGGTGGGTCGGCCAGGGCACCCGCTTGAGCTGGGAACAGGCCGGAAGTGTCTCCCAAGGGCCTTGGCGGTGGGTCTGTCCAGGTGAGGACAGCCAGGCAGGAGGGTGACCCCCTGCCTTCCCACAGGCCGTGGTCCTAGCTCAGACCCAGAGCCAGCCAGAGGATGGAGCTGGGCATCACCAAAGGGAGGCAGCAGCGGTCTGCATCTGGTTAAGTGATGTCCGTTGGGCAACTCTAATCAAGTGGAGAACAGCAGACCAGGGCAGGGCCCTGGACTGCTTCTGGAAGGGCAGAAGGGGCAGGGGCAGGTCAGCACCGGGTGGAGGTTCTGGGAGGGACCGAAGAGGCTGGGTTCCTTCCCACCTCTGAGCACCTGCACAGGCTATTCCTGCCTCCTGATTGCTTAGGGCTTCCTCACCCTTCCGATCTCCACCCAGCAGGCACTTGTTCAGCGAACCTCCCTGTCGCAGGCTCTCAAAGCACCCCAGATCTCTCCTTCCCAGTGCTCGCGGTGAATTTCACATTCACCTGGCTGAGTCTTTGATGAACTGGCTTTCTTTGAGGGCACGACTGTCCCTGGCACACAGTAGGTACGCAACACACGTGTGTTGACAAAGCAAGAGAGCGCCCGCAGCCCAGCCTGGAGAGGTTCGCAGGGTAAGGTGAGGAGTGGGACCCCCACCTCCCAAAGCCTCATCTCCCAGGTTGCAGCCCACTGTTGAAGGCATGTCCCTGGCGAATGTGTATCCCCCTCTGATTTGTCCTGAGCTCCTTTGGAGTAAGGTCCCAACCCAGTGGGATTCAACGAAGCCAGGAAACCAGGGGAGGGCGCGGCTTTGTCCACACAGCAAGGAGGAGGCTCAGGGGGACGGTGGACTCCTCCCCCAGAGTGAGTCTTGCAGCCAGTCAGCCCCAGGCCCGTCACTGCCCACCCTCCACTTCCTGGCTAAGGGCTTCCTACCCCCGGACTGTGGCCACTTTCTGCTGGGGGCCCCGTGGGCTCAAACCATTACCTTGGGCAAGTTCCTCTGGAAGGCTTGCAGGGAGAGGACCATGGGGGCAGCCACAGCCCAGTTGTAGTGCCTGGAGGGACGGAACGCGGTGTTGGGGCCGCAGGAGCTGCAGCGCCACGGAGGGGGCGGGGCGACCCTCTGTGGCGGCCAGCAGCCCAGCCCCAGTACTTACTTCTCATTGACTTTCACCACCAGGTTAGGGTCCTCCAGGAGGCCAGGGTTGTGGGCGAGGTCCTGGTAGGAGACTATGTGCTTGTTGAACTTCTCTGGGCACAGGGCAGAGCGTGAGGGGGTGGGCTGACACCTCACCACGTGTGACCGCTGCCTCGCCTCTCCTGGTCCCTCCACACCCCTACCACTCAGGCCTCCCACGGGGCCCCTCCCTTCCTGTGGTTTTGCACCTGCTGCTCCCACCCCAGGCACTGGCCGTCCTGGATTCACAGGACAAGTCACAGCTGAGCATCAAGCCTTGGGTTCCTGGGGCCTTGGGAATGCCCACCCTTGCTGGCTGAGCGTGGGCTCCACAGGCAGGGGCGCCTGGCCAGCCTCATGCCTCTGCTGCCCACCCAGCCCCAGGCTCAGTGCCAGTCCTTGGAGGGGTTCACGGTCAGACATACCGAGGGAAATGTCCCGGCTGTCGGCTAGTCCACCACAAAGGGACAGCGCTATCGCGTTCATCGGGTCCGAGGTGGGTTCTGGCTCCTGTTCAGGGCTGGGGTCCCCCAGCATCTTCTGGCTACTGGGTTCACTCCACCTCCTGGCTCCCAGCCCACTGTCACTGGAGGGCAGGGGCGGGGAGTGGGGAAGGGCCAACAATGACATGAATACAAGGAGGCTGGCAGGAGGGGCCTGCCCCCCCCCCAGACCCTTGATAGCCAACCCCTGGCCTGATGGGCCCCACCCCGAGACAGCTGGCACCCAGAATGCAGGCACCTCTGGGGGAAGTAAAGGGCTGCATTCTCAGAGTCCAGGGAGGATAAGTCATCCAGGTAGATGTCACTGGGGCCCAGGTGCTGGCTTCTCTTCGTGGAGCCTGAGGACAGAGGGGGGCACGCCTGTAGACCTGACACGCACTCAGTAGTGTAGGCAGTAGGTGACCCCTTGCCTGCGAGCGCCCTAAAGCACTGCCATCCCGTAGACTTTCTGCAGCGATGGACATGCCCTCGGGCTGCACATCCAGCATGGACGCACTTCAGATGTGGTGTGATGGAGAAATGGGGTTTTAGAGGCAACTTAATTTTAACTTCCAACAGCCACAAGTTGCTAGTGGCTACCGATTCGGGCGGTGCGGCGCAGGCCCAGGGCCCCCCCAGGCGCTCAGGAGACAGCCCAGCCGGGGAACCGGGAACTCATGCCCCCACTTCCCTCTCCTGCCCTCTCGCCTGCCCTGCTCCAGACACACCAGCTGCCTCGGTTCCCACACGTGAAGTCTCTCCCCTTCCTCACGACCCTGACACAGGCCATCCCTCTGTCTAGAATTCTCCTTCCTGGAGCCTCACCTGGCAGGTTGGCATTGTTCACGTCTCAGCTTGCATATCACCCACTCACAGAGACCTCACCTGACCTCACCTTACCTTCCCTGTCTTACACACGGTGCAAACAGCTCCCACCCCACCCAGTGTTCTGTCGCCTGTCACCCCTGTGCCTGCTTCCTGGCTAGGTGTGCGCCATGTGTCTGCCCCACTGGATTGTGAGCCCTGTGAGGTCTGGTGCCAAACACAGTGCCTGGCACACAGTAGGTGCTTAAAACATGCCTGATGTCCCAGAGGCCACCCAGGAGGTAGCGCGAGCCCGGGGAGGCACTGGGGGGCATCCAGCCGTCGCTCACCTTTCCTGCTCGAGACCCCCTCTGGCTGGCCGGTGGGAGCCAGGCCCTCCAGACCGGCCCAGCTCCATGATTTTGAGGCAGGAGAGAGGCCTGCATCCCTGGACCTCGGCATGTTGGTTTTTTCTCCCTCGGGGGCAATGAGAGAGGGGCCCGCCAGAGCGGGCACCTCTGTGTCAGGCCGAAGGTCGGGGGTGCTGGGCTCTCCCGGAGGCGGTGAAGCGATGGCCCGGGCGCTGCCATCAGGGGCCATCGAGGACACGGGCCACTCGGCTTTGGCCACCTGTAGTCAGACAAATGGGGAAGGCTGGGGGCCAGGCCGACGCAGGGCCTGTCCCCCACACCCCACAAGACCCTGGGGAAGGGGCCCAAGTCTCAGTCACTCCAGTCCTTCCCCCCAGGGGCCACGGAGCCCCCGAAAGGCAGGGACAGGGGTTGACGCGGAGGGACTCACCTTGGGCAGTCTGCCCCAGGACCACTGCATGTGGGACTCGGCTCTCAGGGAGCTGGGCTCGGGGGTCTTCACCTCCAGCTCCGAGTCGCTCTTAGGGGACGTCAGCCCACCTGATGAAAGGCTGCAGGGAACAAGAACTCAGACGCCCCCACGCCAGCCTGCTGCCCACCCCAGCCCCAGAAAAAATGTTCGTAACATATATTTATGCCTGTGTTGGGTCCAGAATGCATAAACATGCAAAGGATGTCTACAAATCCACACTAAGAAGGCAGTCCAGTTACGAAGGCGGGGAGGGGCAAGTTGGTGATGCCGAACGGGTGTAAGGTGTCCACCTGGGGGACGGAACAGTTCTGGAACTAGACAGGGGCTGTGCTAGATGGCGGCGCAGCGCTGGGATGTGTGAAACGCACTGAATGGTGCACTTTCACAATGGTTAAAATGGTAAATTTTATGTCATGTGCATTTTACCTCCATGTTTTTTTAATGGGCAAAAGACTTCAACACCTTACAAAGGAGATATACAAGTGGCTGGTAAAAACATTAAATGTGTTCTAAGTCGTTATTTAGTAGAAAACTGTAAATGGAAACCACTCTGAGACCTTGGCCTTGAGGCCCCGCCTGCAGCCCACTGGGACTCTCACCTGGCCTGGGAGGGCCACTCGCCATCGGAGTAGGGGTGGATGTCTGTGGGCTGTGACGAGGACTCCCCCTCCGACTGGATACTGCTGAGGGACCACATTGGAATAAATGTTCACTGCTAGCACAGGGCCCCCTAGACAAGGGCATGGGGGCCTGGACATCAGGGGCTTGGGGACGTGAAGCAACGAAAGCCCAGAGAGGTCAAGCCCCTTGCCCAGGGTCACACAGCACCAGTAGAGCAAACAGGGCTTGAACCCCATTGGCATCCTCATGCTCCCACCCTCGGCCCCCACCTGGTCCCCACACACCCTGGGGGCTCCAGCCTCGGCTTTTCCAGCAGGGACGGCTCACTCTCAGCGCCTGCCTCCAGGTCCTCAGAACTAGAATCGTCTGCCACCATGTCCTCCTTCCGCCTCGCTTTCCTCCTCCGAAGCTTCTTCTTCCTCCCCGTGCAGGCCACGGGCAAGACGATGGGCTCGGGCTCGCTGGCCGTACCCAGCTGGGAGTCCGAGGGGAAGCCAGACAGGCCCCCCCAGGGTATGGGCGATGTGCACAGGCGGGGAGGCACCTGCTCCTGTGGAGGAAACCAGGGGAGGGGCGGTGGGGCTGTGGGAGCTGCAGCTTAGGAGGGCCGCTCCCCTGGCCTGGCAGCCTGAGCTCTGCCGGAGTCTCCGGGCCCACTGGGGTCGGGAAACCAGGCCTGGGGGCCGGACACAGGCGCCTGCTGCTGGCCTCCGAGCTCCCTCCGAGATAAAGCAGCCTCAGCCCCAGGAACTGCGTGAACCACACCGGGCAGAAATCTGGCCACCAGCCTCTCATCTCTGCCCACACCCACCTCAGTCGAGACACCTACTTCCCTTTTAAGACTCAGGCGTCACCTCCTCCAGGAAGTTTACCCTGACTGTCCTCAGCACCCGTCCAACCCCCTCCGCTGCAGTGATCAAAGAGTTTCATCACCCACTGCTGTTTATGTGTCTGCCTCGCAGACGAGACTGGGAACCGTCTTTGAAGGCAGGTGTCACCCCTCACCCGAGTCCACCACACTGTCTGGTATACAGTAGGTGCTCAGTCAACTATTTAAATACCTCTGCTGCTTGTGTGGGGCCTGCCTCCCTCCTGCGAACGCCCCTCTCTTCACCCCCCACCCGCACACTTCCCCGTTCCAGCTGCGTGGAGCTGGCCTCGGATCCAGAACATCCAGAACGAGCCTTCTCATGTTTTCCAGCCCCAGGCCGCTCCGCACCTCCTTCCCTCCAAGCTGCTGAGGAAGGCCACCGTCTCACACTTCCGGGGACCAGCTCAAGTGCCCTCTTCTGAGACACTTTCCCCAACTTTCTCCCTGGGAAAAAAGCCCTTGCCCCTTCCAGTGCCCCCCCCACACCCCGCCAAATTCTCCCCAGGTTCCAATAGCATATCATGAATGCCAGCATCAACCCACCCCCCTGCATCAGACCCTTGCTGACGCTGACGGGGTGCTCCCAGGGGTGGGGACAGTGACAAAGCCCAAGGCTCTGCCCGGAGGGGGCATAGTGAAGGGGCAGGCACTTACCTCGTCACTCTCCAGCTCCTGGACAAAGAAGGCCTCCCCGCTATCCCCCAGCTTCATGTGCAAGTCCACGGGCTCCCCATTGATCTCGATGTCTACCTGCAAGGAGGCGTGATGGTGCAAGGGCTGCGTGATCCCCACCACCTGCTCTCACTGCCACACTCCAGGCCACTGGGGCACTGGCCTCCCGGCCGGTCCAGGGCACACGGTCCCCCTGCTGCCCACGAGCCCCGCATGTGCTGGGACCGCCCTCCGAGTGTCCCCATCCCCCGGGCTTCGCTGCACGATTGCGGTCGCGGTGGGCTTGTTTGTGTCTTGGTTTCTGTGTTCCCCTCTTTCCCTGTAAGAACCAGGACGTGATTCCTCTTGTCGCTGTTGAGTCCCCAGCCCAGGACAGGGCAGAAACACTTGGTGAGTGCACTGACAGTGGCACGAGTTACCATCTCCTCGGCACCTAGAATCACCTTTTACCTGGAGTGTCTTGTTTAATCTTCACACCCTCCCCTTGTAGGAGCTCCTGCGGTTAGCCCCACTGTACAGGCGAGGACACAGGGGCTTGGAGGGGTTAAGTAACTCTCTGGGAAGTACTGAAATGAGGCTATAAACCCGGAGTCTGAGTTCGCAGCCCAAGCTCTTAATCGCTCAGCGGTACTGCCTCCCACATGGTTATGCTGTCCTGTTTGGATTCTGGAAGTTCACGGCCACCTCAGTGTGTCAAACCTCATCACACACCAGACCTCAGTGCTAACTGAAAACTCTGTCCTATTTCACCTGAGCTCAGGGACCACAGTGCAGTTTTCCTGGGGATGGAAATGACCCCTGAGTGTCACCCACAGGCCTGGCCCGGGGATGGTGTCATCGGCTCCTATTCAACCACCAGGCAGATGAAAGCGTGTCCAGGTGCACAGGTGAAGCATCTTACCAAGGCCGCACGGGTAGGCTCTTGGTAAGCTGCAGCCAGGTCTCACTCCACGACGCTGCTTCCAGGGGGGAAATAGGGACCCTCTCGGTCCCAAACCCCAAACCAACCCCAAGCCATTCAAGAAAATACAAAAGAAGGGAGGCCTGTCCAGAGGACACATCCTCACCCATGGGAGACCTGGGCGTTCTCCGGGGACTGCAGTGGCCGCCCAGGCTTCCAAAGCCCACCCAGCAGTGGTCCCTCGGCCGGCCGCCAGCACTCACCACCTTCTCCCGTGACCGCAGGACACCCAGCTTGCCGAAACGCACGTGGAAGGGCGAGCACCGGAAGGAGCCGTCCACCTGCTTCACCACCAGCACGTCAATGCAGCCACTCAGCGTGGCCGGGTTCAGGCCCTGGTACAGCTCCTTCACCGTCCCGAACACGGTCCCCGCGAGCTGACCCACGTAGTTCATGGCTGGGGCTGGCAAGGGGTGGCAGATGGTGCTGGAGCCAAGGCCTGGGACTCCTCCCTCTGGAAAGAGGCTTTGCAGCCTGACCCCGGGGCTCCCAGACTTACGATGTGTTGCCCTCGGAACACCTTCGAAGACAGGCAGCAGTCGGGACGGGAGGCGCCTGTAGACGTGGGTCCTAGCTCTGGCTCACCCACTGACCAGCCGGGGGACACCTGGACAGCTGCCTGCCTGCTCCAGGCGCCCACATCTGTCAAATGAGGGCACAGGGTAAGGCAGGCTGGGGTTCCCTGAGCCTCTAAATGCCGTGAGTAATAAGGGCCGCGGCACTCAATGATGGTGTATTTTCTCTTCACAACAACCTACAAGGCTGGCCGAGCAGGTGTCATTACTCCTGTTGACAAACAGGAGGCCTGTTGACAAACAGGAGTGGCGGAGCGACTGGCCCAGGATCTCCCAACCAGGAAGGAAGGGAGCTGGGATTTGAGTCTGGGGCCCAGAACCCTGGTGTGAGCCACTAGGAAGGCCTAGCTGTGGGAGCAGGAGGAGGTGGGCACCCCTCCCTGGGGTCGGGGCAGGCAGCCTCGTGGTATATCAGGCCCTGGCCCCTTCTGGGGAACAGACAACAGCCCTCAAGACTGGTATCTTCCAAAGAAATGAGGAGGCAGGAGTCTCAATTTGTCCATCTGAGAAATGGGTTCAGCCGTCTTGCTGCCTCTTGGCCTCAGGAGCTGGAAGGGGCCTTGCTGGTCCATTATCACTGATTTGTGAGGAACTAGGGATGGGAGGGCCCCAGGTACCCAAGGCTCTACTTAGCTCTACTCCTGTGGTCAGAGGCTCAAGGCAGGGCATCTCTTACAGCTGTGGGTGGAGGGAGCTCCCAGTTTAAGACTCCAAACTCCAAAGTCCTTCCCAGTTTCCTTTGGAGGATAGGGAGTCCGTCCACGGCCCACAGCTGGCCCCAGGGTCTCTAGGCCATGGTTCTCAGCCCCGACCCCCCGTCGTCAGACCCACATTCAGGCCTTGGGCTGGCCTGAGGTGTCCAAAGCTGCTCCTCCTCCTCCCAGCCAGACTGGTCCCTCCAGCTTTCCCACGCCAGGCACAGCTGGGTGAGCCAGGAGCAGGAGGCCGCGGCAGCCACAGAGAAAAGCCAGAGCCCGAATGGGAGCCGCCTCCACGCTGGCATGGTGCCCGCCTGCCAGCTTCAGCTCATTGTCCTCCCCGCTGGCCAGGACCGTGGCCCACAGCCCCTCTGGGTGCCAGGACACAGGCCACCCACTTCCCCAGGGCACTTCCCCCTCTTGGCCCCTGAATCAGAATCCCTAGAAGACCACCTGCCATGCAAGACCACCCCTCAAAGAAGTTAAGTGACTTCTCCAAACTCTATTAAGCTAAGAAGCCGTGGATGGGGGGAGGGAGTGATGACTCATGCCCTGGTTTCCTGACTTGGTACCATGGTTCCTTCCACGCCACAGTCCCCAGCGACAACACAGTTGGCTGCAGAGAGGGCAGCCCGGCCCACGGCCCCCTTCACACAGCCCTGCAGCACCTTGCCCTCTATGGGCAGTCCCCGCCCAGCAGCACCAGCAGCACCTGGGAGCTAGCTGGCAGTGTGGAGCTTCAACAATGGTAAGGGACAGTTTCAATCGCTAAAGTGAAAACTGGAATAAGATGAAGCTCTTTGGACCCTGAACACGTCACTCCACTTTAACAGATATTTTACCTGCAAGGTACCTACTCTGTGCTATGTGAAAGTTTCCACTTTTGTTTCTTCCTACCTAACACCAAACTGCGAACGTAAGTCTAGGGAGATAGACAGACGGACTGACAAGGGCAGATATGTGGTAGGTAGGACTCTAGGCCACTGTGCCCGGGAAAAGCAGAGAGGACTCTAGAAGCTTCCAGGAATAAAGGAGCAACCCTGGGAGGGGCAGGCCAGAGGTGGGGGCAAAGGTCCACCCAGCTGGAGGCCCGAGCCTGAGCTAGCAGCCCTGCTGAGGGCACAAGAGCTGGGGGAGGCGGGGAGGGGGGAAGCGTGTCACGCTCAGCTGGACCTAGTACAGGGTTTCTCAGCTTGGGCATCATTGGCATTTGGGGCTGGACAGTTCTTTGTTGTGGGGGGAATGCAGGATGTTTAGCAGCATCCCTGGGCTCGACCCTCTGGATACTAAAGGTACCCTCCCTCCAGTTGTGACAATCAAATTGTCCCCAAACACTGTCAAAATTGGCCTTGGTTGAGAGCCACAGAGGTAACAGAAACAGCTTAGTGGCAGAGGTGTCACCCCTGGAGGCCCTGGGTCCTATGCTGACCCACCCGTGGGGTGTTCCTTCGGCAAGGACCTCACTGGCCTCAGTTTCCCCTTCTGTGAAACAAAGCTTCAGTTTTTCAAACCCTTCTCAGCCTTGAATCCACTCCTCACCCTGTTCCCCCACCCCATGAGTGGAGGCCCCCACATCTGCTGGCTCAGCATTTGGAGGGACTCCTGCGAGCCGGGCCCTGGACTGCCCTCCTCTGCTGGCACCCATCCCTGCAGGCATCTCCTCTCCCCAGGACCCCGCTCTGCCTCCTTGGTCTTCTCCAGATGGAGGGGAGCTCTGCATGGCTCCCCTATGCCACCCTGCACTCCCTGCTAACATCTCTAAAATCAAACACTTCACCCCCCCAAAAAAACCCTTAGTCAGGACCTATGGGCACCCCACCCAAACCTCCTGAATCTTATTCCCCAATCTCCTGCTCATCCGGTGCCTCCTTTCTCCTCCTGTGGTCCTAGGTCAAGGCTTTATTACTGGATGCCTAGTTCCTGGATGGTCTAACTGTGGGTTAGGCACCAGACTGGATTCTAATCCCTCCCTGACATGTACTAGCTGTCACTTTAGGCAAGTCTCTTCACCTCTCTGAGCCTCATTTTCAGCCTCTGAAATGGGGATAATATAAGGGATGCATGAGTAATTAATGACATAATTCACATAAAGCACCAGCATGCAGCAAATGCCCACACATGTCACCTATCAACAGCAGCATCTTTTTTGGCATTGTGACAGCCCCACTCACCCAGGCTGGTCCTGACAACGCTACAGGTCAGACTCCAGTGCACTGTCCCACCCACAGTTAAGAGTTTAGACTTCTTAACTCAGCACTCAAGGTCCTGCATGATGGCGGCCCCACTGTTTGCAAAGTGAGCAGGTGGGCTCCAGGCAGGCCTCACAGGGTGCCCAAACCTCAGAGCCCACTCTGGGAACATCCACCGGCCTCCCAAGCCAGCGCATGACTCCACTCAGGAAAGCCAGAGCAAGGTTCCCTGGGTAGGATCTTACAGCTTTTCTGGGCTCCTAGATTTAGGGAGTGGTGGGGGCAGGGCTCTCCACCTAGGATCAGAGGGAGCAGGAGGATAAGAATTCCTACAGCTCTGGAAGAGAGAAAACCAACCCCAGCTTCCCAGGGGCCTTCACAGCTGCCCCATCCGACCACGCCAGTCTCAGGGCAGACACAGCAAGAGTCAGACCCTGTTTTGCCACTGGGAACACTCAGGATCAGAGACGGTGGGTGTCCTCCCCAAGGACAGACAGCCTGGGATAATGCTGGCCAGCCTCTCCTGAAAGGTGTTTACATCTCCTGAACTCCTAATTCCACATTCTGGGTGTCCGGGGCTCCCCCCGCAGCCGCTGGGCCGGGAACAATGGCGAAGTGAGTTCCACAACCTCTGAGAGTTCCCTTTTGATGGCTGGAGATGGACTCAGGCCCAAGAACAGGAAGGAATGAGGGTTGAAAGGCAAGACGGGTGGGCGGGGCAAAGCGGGACAGGGAGAGGGGTACCTCTTCGCAGGCCCGGGTTGGGCCCTACCTTTGAAGCTGCCCACTGGACCTCCGGGACCCGGAGCCGCCGCCTCTACCTGAGTGCACAGGGTCAGCCAAGCAAGCGCCCTTGGCCGCACACTCACTGAGCGCTTCCGGCTCCTTTTGGACAGGGTGAGATCCCGGCTCCGCCCTTTCCACGAGTCAAGGGACGGCTCCACCCCCACCCCGAAAAGACCCCGCCCCCGCCCAGTCTCCACGCCCAAGGCCGCCCTTTCACCTATAGAGCTTGGGCGGGGTCAGACTTCAGGCTCCGCCCACGTCGATTCCACCCCTGCCCCGCCCTGCACCACACAGCGGTTAGGAGCTGCGTGCGGGTATCCCGCACCTGCCGCACTGCCCAAGGAAAGCGGGGCCCTTCGAATCCGGTGGATCTAGGTCCTCCTGACTTTGCTTGCAGCTCGCCGTGTGACTTTGGGTAAATTTTCCCCAATCTGGGCCCGTTTTCTGCTTTATCAAAGGGAATAGCCACCTTGCAGGGTTTTCGACAGTACATAAAATGGCTTTGTGAGGCACCTGGCGCTCAAACATCCCCTTTTTGGAGCAGCTTTCCCCGACCCCTCTATACTACCCCACTCCCCAAACTGGACAGGACCCTCGTATCTATCGTACGCTCACATAGCCCACAGTTATAATTTCATATTTGTTTGAATGACTATATGATCATTGTCTACCTCTTCATTTGAATTTGAACTTCATGAGAGCAGGTCGCGTTTATTCTTAACACTCCAACGCCCAGTGCAGTGCCTGACCTATAGCCGGGACTCAATAAATGTTCGCTCCCTATTCGAGGCACTGTTGGTGTCAGCAGGCTCGATACCGGCATTGGCCAGCAGAGGGCAGGAGGTGACCAGCCTTCTCGCCCAGCTGAGTATCCTCTCCTGGCCTGCTAGCGCCACGGGAAGGGTACAGGTGAGCACAGGTGAACGCACTTCTGAAAAGATCGGTCGTGGAGCCACAGGCGAGGCTCTGGCCAGGGAACATTGTTTTCCCTTTGGATCTGTGATTCGCGGCCTTTCCTGTATCAAAGACACCTCACAGCGTGTGGGGATGTGGCCTCTGCAAAGAAGATGCTCCAAGAAGGCTCAGGAGGTGAGGGAATTTGCTGTAAAGAGGTCTGCACTGGGGAAAGGCTTGGACGGTTGGGGCGCAATGGCAAAGAGCCAGGGTTAGAAAGTACTGGGCAGTGGGGAGGGAGAAGTGGCCGCCATTGTTCTGTGACCCAGGAAGACAGGACCTGGGTGGAACCTCAGTTGTCTTTGTGTTAGCAAAAGTCATTTGGTGTCAGTCCTGAACCCAAGGCATGTCTGACTGGTCTCTCAGAAGAGTCCCGTTGGGAGCAGCACTTTCTCAGGGCGGCCAGAGGGCGGTGCCACACCACAAGCATTTCTGTGGAAGCATTGTCTATTACTATCACATATAACAGTGAAACCCTGGAAACATCAGCAATCCCTCCAGTGAGCCTGGGAAGGAAGGAAGGAAGGAGACGTCAGAGGTTGTGCCACAGTTACTCCTCTTTGAGCCTCAATTTTCTCTTCTGCAAAATGGAGGTAAAACCTCCCTTTCGGGATTGCACTGTGAGGATTATACAGAATGAACGAAATCAGGGGCTCTTAACTGCGGCTGCACATTGGAATCATTGTGTCTGCAGCAAATACTGATACCTGGGGTACTGGAATTAAAACAAACCGACAAAAACCTCTCCAGGTGATAGTAATGTGTGGCCACGGCTGAGGACACTGAGCTAAATAAAATGCCGAACACAGCACAGGGCATACATTAGGCATTCTATAATATCAAATATTTTTTTAAGATGGAGCACAAATTGTTCTCATTATTCTTTGTTAGAAGGGAAAAATGTTGATGTCAAGTTTCGCAGAAACTGAATTTCCGACAGGCTTGTTTCTGGAACTACGAATCAGGAGAGATTTGGGGATTATGGAGGTCAGGGCAGGGGAGAGGCAGCCTCTGGTAGTACAACCCCCTAATGCCCCACTGAGCTGCACGAGGCAGGGCCCACTCTATTCTAGCCTGTGGTTTACACCACTATCTCCAATGCAGCCATTTAGCCTGCAGGCAGCTTGGGTGCTTGTATTTGCCCCTTTGTGGGGTTAAGGGTAGTGTCTATGTTCTCCTCTGCCAGGGTACGCTCACCAGATGGGCCTGTACCACTGGCAACTGTTGGTTTCTTGATCAACCCGTGAGTGCAGATGGCACTTCCTTCTTTACGGACCTAGGTAGTCTTCTGTGCTTTGTTAAGTCACAGACCCAATGATTAGCTACTGTGTCCCAGTGCTTTCTTGCTGGGTGAACCTGGCATGAAGTGGAAGGGACCCACTCACCCAGGCCTGCAGCTTCGACCACTCCTGCTGGCCTCATTTAAGGAGGGAAGGGAGGCCGAGGAACCTGAGACCTTCTTCCTCCAGCATGCAGACTTGGGGTTTGGGGGGTAGGCAGTTGGTATCTGGCTGGAGTTGTCAGATTTGGCAAATAAAAATAAAGGATGCCCAGTTAAATTGGAATGTCTGATAAAAAACATAAGGGTTTTTTTTTTTTTAGTGTCCATCCCATGCAATATTTGGAATGCACTTACTTATACTAAAATTATTTGTGTCTGAAATTCAAATGTAACTAGATAGATTTTATTTTTATTTGCTAAATCTGGCAACCCAGTGCCTGACCAAAGAGCCAAGGAGAACCCAGCATGTGGTATTCACTGCCAGCAACGCCCTCCTGCCCAGTGCTGCCACATTCGGCTCCCACCTGCCCCTGCCCTGCTCCAGAACTCTACGTGGCTCCCAGCTGCTTCCACAGCGCAGCTTGGACTGCCTGGCTGCTACATCAGCCTTGGCTCTTCGGTCCACCCAGCTGCGCTGCTTGGGCTCTTTCCCTCCTCTGCTCCTGCTCATGTTTTCTCTGCCCGGCATGTCTCCTGCCCACTCCCGGCAGCAAGTGCAAACACTTATTGGGCACCTACTGGGTGCAGGCACAATGCTGAGTTCTTCATTTGCATCGTTTCTTTGGATTCTCACAAAACCCAGTGTGGTAGGAACAGCAGTTGTTTTAGCAGTGAAGAAACTGACGCTCTAATTGATTCTTAAAGCTGGTCTCTGGGCTAGCAGCACCTGGGGATTCATTAGAAATGAAAACCCAGGTCAAACTGAATCAGAAACTCTAGGGGTGGAGCCCAGTCATCTGTATTTTATACGCCCTCCCAACCAGGTGATTCAGATGCAGGCGCTAGTTTGAGATCTGCTGCTCTCAGACATGAAGTGGCTGTAGGAGTCTTCCAACCAGGAAGGGTTAAAAAGGACCTTGCCTGGGCCAGACACTGGAGACGCTGCAGGCACAGCATTCTTCTGGGGGAGAGGGGGGAAAAGGAGGAAGGAGGGAAAGAAAGACAAGGCCAGACAGGCAGTCGGGCCACTAGGAAGTGGAATGATGAGGGCTGAGGTGCACCAGGCCCTGGAGCCTGCAGCAGGGTCAGAGGGGTCAAGGAAAGCTTCCTGACTAAGCCTGAAAAGGAAGTTGGAATTTGTTAAGGGTGGGAACAATGTTGCAGGTGTAGAGACAAGTTTGTACAGGGTCCTGGGGGTCGTTCACTGTTGAGGATGGAAAGTGAGGTGGGATGGGGTGCAGATGGAATCTGATAGTGTCAAAATCCTCAGAGCAAATGATAAGTGGGTACAGAGAAAAAGCCCCCTGGCTTCTGTGGGAGCGGGCACTTGGGAAGATGCCAGGCAGGAAGGAGAGACTGAGAGCGAGCCAGGCCTTCCCCCACCCCTAGATCCAGGCTGCTTTTGCCCTCCAAGAGATCAGCAGAGATGCAGCTTTCTATAGCAGCAGTGGGCAGGTGCATGGGTACAAGGCTGTAGTCTCTGGGCCAAGGCTGGTGGGGGGCTGGGGAAGCAGCGCAGGCCCCGCTGGCCCCGCCCCCAGCCCCCACCCTGCTGGCCCCGCCCACTCCCTCCGGCCTGAGGAAGCCAGACTGGGCAGCTGGCCGCTGGTCCGGTTTTTTCCCTTTTCCCTTGCCTGTTCTCTTTACCTGTTGATGTGGCTAAAGCTGCGCAGCTACTGGGGTCTCTTCTTCCAGCCTTTCAGGGACTAGCCCTGGATGTGATCAGATTCCTCGGCTGGAGGGAAGGAGACTGCTGTTGCTATTCCCTGCCCCTTCCAACGAAGCCTTTGCGCCGGCCAAGGACTGAGCCGCCCGGCCAGGCTGCCCGGCAGTGTGGGCTGCCGCTGGGCAGTTCCCGCTCCAACTGCCCTTCCCGGAAAAACGTCAGTTTGACCGAACTCTTTTGGAACCCGCTTGTGATTTCCAGCCTGGGGGAGACTACTCAAAGACCATGAAACATCGTATGAAGTGGAGCTTTCTGTGCGTGCGAAATCCCTCGTAGGATTTGCCAACTGTCCCAGGAACTTGACCTTCAGCAAAGGAACCTTTTATGCTTCCTCCTCTTGAGTATACCTTCTGCTCCCCACTCTGTGTCTGGCATCCAGGATCACGTCTCATAATGCTTTGCAGTTCAAGGGGTGTCTAGCGTGGTGGTCTTCACGTAAATAAATGCTTTAAAACGTTGTTTAGGGAAGATCAATACATTTATGCTCAGCCTTGGAGCGTATGTAGATTTTGGAGTATGTACAGGAGAGGCAGGGGCTGCCTAAGTGGGTGGAAGTGGCGGATGGAGGCATGGATGGATGCTGGAGAGAGAGGGGGTGAGCACAAGGGAGTTAGCCTGTCTGGCCTGCAATATGGGGCGAAACCATGGGAACTGAGGAACAATTGATGGTTGCGGAGCAGGACAGTGACACAGTATTGCTGTCAGTGTACTAGATCCCAGCTCATTGTCACTTCCTCAGGGAAGCCTTCGGTGGCAGACAGACTCTAAGATGACCCTCTGTATCTCTGGTCCTGGTGTTCATGCCTTTGTGTTACCCCTTCCTCTTGGGTGTGGGCGGGACCTGTGACTTGATTTTAACCAATAGAATGTGGCAGAGGTGCTGGGCTGTTCCTCCCAAGATTTTGTTACAGACTCGTGGCTGCAGGCGCTCCTTGCTGACTCAGTGAAGTAAATATCCACGTGGAGGA